ATTTGGGTGGTAAGTAAGGTTCTGGTGAAATTTGGAGAATTTTTCTGGGATAAGGTCTAGGACAAATGGGATGTTAAGGTCATGATGTAGGGTTTTGTTGGATACATAGAAAGGAGCATCGACTTTTGTTCGAAGGACTTTAGACTGGAAGGATTGGATGCGCTTGATGTTAGAAAATTTTGCTGATCCCCACAGTTCTAGTCCGTAAGTCCAAATAGGTTTCAGTATTGTCTTGTAGATCAGTAGCTTGTTTTCAATGGAAAGTTTAAATTTTCTGCTTAGTAGTCGGTATAGTTGGCCGTATCGTCGGTTGAGTTCTTGTCTTTTGAGTCTAGTATGCGGGTTCCAAGTTAGTCTTCGGTCTAAATGAAAGCCAAGATACCGGACTGTGTCTGAATAAGGAAGCTGGATGGAATTAAAGAGTACTGGTGGACAGGAATTGCATTGGAGTGTAAAGGTAATATGTTGGCATTTAGATTCATTAACTTTAATGCGCCAGTTATTACACCAGTGCTCAATCAAGGTGAGGTGACTTTGGAGATTTAAGGGTGCTATTTCGGGATCAGAGTTGGATGATAAGATTGCGGTGTCGTCAGCGAATGTTGCAAGAAAAGTATCGGGATGAACAGGGATGTCAGCAGTAAAGTGGGTGGTGCGTAGGATACAATTGTAGATATATGTAAGGAATATGACTGCTTTGCATGGAAGTTGTCGAAGGATTTGAGGTGTAAGGAGATCATGTCCAGGAGCTTTACGGGGGATTAGTTTTTTTAATTGAAATTTTACTTCGGAAGGATGAATAGCTTTTGGGGGCAAGGAAAGTGGGATTGGTGATGTAAGGAGTTCTTCTACTGTTACGGTGTGGGCAGGATGGGATTCCGGATGTGAAATAAATGTATTGGATAGGTGAATGGCGAACTCCTCAGCTTTATCTTCGTCAGATGCTGCCCAGGAGCCATCACCTCGTCGGAGAGGATGGGAAATGCGGTAAGGATTTAGGATTTTTGTTGTGGTTTTCCAAAGGGAATTGTCGCGAGAAGAGAGGGAGGATAGGTAGGAGTTGAAGGATTGTGATCTGAATGTGGCTAATTCCAGTTTTAATTGTTTGCAGTAGTAATTATAGGAGTAGCGATCGGTAGGATGTCGGGTAAGTTGCCATAACAATCTGGCACGGCGTTTGGTGCGGATTAGGTTAAGGAGGTGTTGGGGTAGAATGGTCTTTATAGGAATTCTGGAGGAGTCTTTTGGGAAGGAGGCAGTCCAGGCGGCTTGTTGGATTGTGGTAGTAAAGGAATTTACGGCACTATCAAGGTCATCGGGAGTTTTGAGGGATATGTTGAGATCAATATTATCGGAGATTATTTGTCGGAAAAGGTCCCAGTTTACTGGGCCCCTAATGAATGACGGTGGAGAAGGTTTGGGAACAGGTTCAAGTGAAACATTAAGGATTAGAGGACTATGGTCCGAGGAAAGTTCATTTAAACGTGTAATGGAACAATTGAGGGGACTTAAGCCGCTGTGGATAAAGAAATCAAGAAGATCAGGATTACGGTTGGGATCTGTGGGCCAGTAGGTAGGAGAGTTGGGGGAAAGGAGGTGAAAACGTTGGGAATTGAGTGCAGACAGCAGGGTTCGGCCACGAGAATTCGTGGTTCTGGAACCCCATTGTTGGTGCTTGGCATTTAGGTCTGCACCCAAGATGAAGTGATGTCCTAAGGAGTCGAGGAGAGAACTGAATTGGCCATTGGATATGGATCGGTTAGGAGGGCAATACGCTGATGCAAGAGTGACCGGAAAGGAGAAGGTTTTTATCACGATAGCGGTGGACTGTAGGAAATCATGTATTGGTAATGGGAGTACGTGATGGGAGAGGGATTGGTGTACAATTACAGTAGTACCGGCATGTGCTTTTCCGTCAGGGTGGTCAGTACGATATGTCAGGTATTGTGGTATATTGAAGTGCTGTTTAGTGGTTAGTCGAGTTTCAGTAATTAGTGCCACATCTCCAATTTTTTTTTTTTTTTTTTTTTTTTTTTATTTATTTATTTATTTTTCTCTTATGATATGCGGTATGATCAGCAAGTGATGGCCAGTAAGGTGCCCAAGAGGTCTCGGTCAGACGGAGTTAGCTCACCAGCCAAACAAAGGACTCGTCGCTGCCTACGAGAAATACCTCCAGTGACCAAAATGAACACTTCAGAACCAGAACCTCAGCCCCAACCAGGTACGTCTGCACAAGAAACGATTGAAGAATCACCTTTCTTTACTCCAAACCCCTACCAAGTGCTTCAAAATGACAAAGAAGTAATGGAGTCTGCAGCAATACCCAGAGAACCAAAGCCTCCTCCGATATTTGTGAAAAATATAAAAAATTTCCAGATGTTCTGCACCCAACTAAATAAAATCTGCTCTGGCAGTTATTCATGCCTTAACAGGACCAATGACACCAAGATAACACCTGATTCTGCAGAAGCCTACCGAAAAATAGTGAAGTACTTAT